TTTTCTTCTCCCTCTAGCTTCGCGCCTCCTCCGTGCTCTACCCCTCGAAGGAGGGGGAGCACGAGAAGCAGTGCTAGCTTTCGAGTCTTGCCTCCGGTCCTCAGACTGGGGCAAGTCAGCCCCCTTCATGGCTTGAGGCTTGGACCTGGACCGGCGCGGCATAAAGGTTTTAAATGCAGCAGAGCAAGCCTTCGTCTCCCGAAACTTCCCAACCACTGTCTCAACAAATGTACCGAAAAGTTCGGAAGCCGGAACTGGTGCATTGAGGAGACCGTTTTTCTCCTTCTCCCCGATATCTGCCAGATTTAGCCACAGATGTCTCTCCGTAGCCACCATCGCCGCCATCGAACGACCGATAGTGGCGGCAGTTTGCTTAGTGGCACGGAGAGCCAAATCCGTGGTACGGCGCAGCTCCTCCACCACCTCCGGGGGGAGTCCCCGGCCCTGGTCCAGGTCCTTCAGCAGGTCAGCCTGGTAGGCTTGCAACACGGCCATCGTGTGCAAAGCCTCACCAGCCTGACCTGCTGCCACATATGCTCTGCCGTTTAGCCATGACGTAACCCACAGCGGCTTAGTCGGCAGAGACGGCGTCTTCAATGCGGATACCTCACCCACCGAGAGAAAGCTAGCCAGTGTCTCTTCAATCGGAGGCATCGACGCACATCCATATTCCTGCATTCCCTCCACATCAGCATAGTTTGCTTGTGAAAAGTGAATGCGAGCAGAATATGGCTTTCCCCAGGCTCATCGCACCTCAGTGTGAAGATCTGGCAGAAAGGGAAGACTCGTACGAGCTGGGTGGTTATGTCCTGATATAAAGCGTTCGTCGAGGCGACCACGAGGGGGCTCGCGCTTCTCGCGCCTCCACGGCAGATCTAATCTTTCCGTAGCACGAGACATAACATCCAACAGCTCGTCATATGCGGGGCAGGCGGGATGTGAGTGCTCAGAAACATCGTCGATCTCAACAGCCTCTTCCTGCTCATCTTGGTGAGGAGCGCGCTCGCTGCCAGATCAGATGACGTGAGTGACAGCACATCATCATCCCGCAGCTCGCTCTCGCCCGCCGCCAACGAATGAGAAAAACTCGTACCTTTTTCAAACTCGTCGGCAAGCTCCACCTGCGAACCCCACGATTGCAGTCTCCTACTTGCCTCAGCTGCAGCAGGTCCTGAACCACGGGATAGAGATGGTTGTCCCGATTCCCTCAAGAAAAGGGACAGACGAGAGTGAAGCTTTCTCAACGAAAAGCGCTCGCAATGCATGCAAACAGCCCCCTCGAGAACTGAGTGTGCATGCTCCTCGCCCATGCATACAACGCACATAACATGCGTGTCATCAGGTGTCAAGAAACGCTGAGCTGTGCTGGTGCTTGCCATAGTTCTGCCGTAATTTGACTAGATCACACACTTAGAAAAACGGATTCCTTGAAGACAAGAAAGAGGATGACATTTTTTACAGGTGCTCTTTTATACTCTCGGACGCACCTCTTGTGACGTCATAGGCTGCCGCCTGCCAATGTCAAGTTCATTGTCATGATTAGACTCATGCTTCATGCCAAAGACATTCCCCAAAGCACCCTCTAGAGGACGCAGCGTAGAGTTCCCATTCGAAAGGGAACTCCTTATATTCAGGTGTGCATAATTATTAGGCAGGTTTTCTTTTACAGATAAAATTAGCCAAAACAGTGATTTAACTCAGACTGAAAGTCAAAAATTATTAAATGCCCATGAGAAGGATGCAATACTAGAATTTGCAAAGTTAAGGCATGACCATTAGACAGCAAAATGCTCAGGGGGTCAGCACGGTCAGAAAAAAACAGGTGGAGAAAAAAAGACACGTTAACTGAAAAAGAATTAAGAATTAAGGTGAAGAATTAGGTGTGAAACCATCAGGAACCCTTTAGTCTCCAACGCCACCATTTTCCAGAACTGCAACCTACCTGGAGTCTCCAGAGTGCAATGTGTCAGGTTCTCAGAGACTTTGCTTGGGTAAAAAATCCTAAAAAAAAAAAATGACCCTCACTTAATAAGAATAACATGCTGATGTTTTGTGAAATACATGAAGACGGATTTTTTTTTAAAAAGGCTTTATGGACAGATAAGTTGAGAGTGACTCTTGAAGGAACAGCCTCACATCCCTTTCGTACCACTCTTTCAAGAATTTTATCTTCCAGAATCTGGCAGTAAGTTTTGAGAGTTCACATTCTAAAATGAGCTCCCAAAACTTACTTGCTCTTAAATTTATTTATTTAATTATTTAGTCATTTAGCAGACGCTTTTATCCAAAGCGACTTAGTAATCCTAAAAAATAACACTGCCAAACTTACATGCTAAATAACAACAACTTACACATAGTAAGAAATGGTTATAAAAACTGAAACAGAAGTGAAACAAGTAATAGGAAAGAGGAGAAATAAAATGTTATTATTTTTTTTAAATAATAACATTAATTGAAATAAATTCAATAAATGTTAGCCATGTAAATCTTAAATGATTAAATTCAAAATTAATAGTTGTTATTAAGACTAGGGCTGCCCTCGACTAAGGATTTTTCTGGTCGACCAGTAGTCGTTCATTTTAAGCATTAGTCGACTAATCGCACGTTTATTAATAAACAATTTAAATCATTATAATGAGCCTTTAATTGCCTACATAGCCTAATTGCTCAAGCACACGCATAAAGCTTGCCACAGCGCACCGGCAGAATTAGTGATTATGAATGTGTCAGGGAAAAACAGTAAGGAGGCTGCTTTAACATTTTAATAATCTGATAAACTAGTGCTTGCTTTTGTTTTCGGTTTAAGAGATGAACTCGGCGACACTGACTCTTCATCTCTGCAATAGTAATGCACCTGTATGTTTAATACAGATTACATAATCTGGGAATATCTGTTTTCCATTTGAATTGGTTCATTTGAAAGTAGACATTTCACTCTCTATAGATATATGTTTAATGTCTGTAAGGCAATATACACAGAGTTTCGTGCTTAAGTTCACAGAGACCGAGACGGCAGAAAGCGCATCCTGTTTGCTTTCATTATTTTACAAAAGTGTGTTTTGTTGTTATTGTGAGTGCACACAAATAAACGTAGAGTCTTTACAGATTTGAAAGATGTATTACTCTTATCTGTATGACCAAAAATGAGGGAGTGTTTTAGGAGTAAGTGACTGCACAAGCGCCTCCATCTGTCCTGCAGTGAGCTACTGTTCAGCTTCCACACTCCACACAGACACAATAGCGCACATTTCTCTAGGTTAACATTAGATTGAGAAGCCATGTAAAGTTGCTAGTACTTACATTAGATAATAAGCCATATTTGAGGTCGATGAATGATAGGCGAGCGTTTGGATGTCCTTCCTGGTGTACTGTATTACTAGCCGTTAACGATCTGTCCGTCACGAACTGCGTGACTTCGCCTGTGGATTTTTATTTATTTATTTATTATTTTTTTCTGCGACTAAGCGTGACTTCGCCTGTGGATTTTTATTTATTTATTTATTATTTTTTTCTGCGACTAAGAAAATGTTGGTCGACCAAGCCTCTTCTGGTCGACTAACAATTAGTCGACAATTAGGGGCAGCCCTAATTAAGTCTGATGTGGTTTGGAATTGGTAAAATGTGCTTGGAAAAAAATATGGTCAGAATATCAGCTTACCTAATAATTATGCACGCACTGTATATAACTTATTAAAATGTAATTGTGATGAATGAGGACATGCAGATTGGCTGATCGTTAAATCTATCATCTGTTCAGTATCTTGTTACTTGTTTCAGTCCATTATTCCTGTTTGGACCAGACAGAATTTGCATTGTTTTTTTGGGATATATTTAAACAGGGTAGATGAAGATGACAGAACTATTCTCTCATTGATTGCTGAAAGTGTAATCGGATTGCTCAGTATTGAATGTGCAAGTGCCTTCTACTCAGTCATTTAATGGCTCTTCAGTAACGAGTTGATGAGGTCAAAGCTATTTAATACACGGCCAATGAAATCACACAAACGCACAGATCTGATCTTATTTTCATTATTATAGTTTACTTTGAGACTGATTTGTCAGATTGTTCTTATCCCAGACCAGATCTCATGAATCACATCATTCTGTAGAGAGTCTTGCTCTTCTGTTAATTCCAGCACATTCTCACTCCAAACTCGTCACGTATTGATGCTTGGTCAGGACCCTTTGGCGTCACTTTTTGATGCACGGGGTACCCCTTTAGCGTCATTTTTCGGCGTGCAGGGTCCTCCATTGCTTTGAATAAGAAACCCTTGGCATCAATATGCCAACGAGAACGGCACGGGGAGTTTTATCGCCATGATTAAATTATATATTGGGTAATAATATTGCCAATATTGCATATATGTTGGGGTGTGATTTTCCAATGTAAATAGTCACAACAGTTTTATTTACATTACACTATTTACACATTTATGAGCACGTAACCCAACCCCAACCCCTGCCCCTAAACCTAAACCTAACCTAAACCTAAACCTTAATTCCAAAGTCTTGGAATGCAACAGGACTTGATTGTAATGGTTTTATACTGCTTGTTTATGGTCCGTTTTTGAAAGAAATACCTGTGACTGCACTTATATTTGCCTGCTACATGTTTTGTATTGTTCAGAAGTGGGTAGGTTTAGGGTTGGGTGGGGTCCAATGAAAGTATACATTTATATAAAATGATTTCTGTTTTTTTACAAATGCAAGCAAACCATTAATTAACTGAAAACAATGGAGGACCCTGCACGCCGAAAAGTGATGCTAAAAGGATACCCCTGTGTGTCAAAAAGAGCCGCCAAAGGGTCCTGACCAAGCGTCAGTATGTGACGAGTTGGGAGTGAGTACTCTGCAGCATCATTCACTTTCTGTCTGCAGTGTTGAATGGTTTTCATGACACTCTTGTAACATATGGAGACAAAGGGCTTTCAGAAAGCGATACGATCTCATTTCATCTGTCTCTTGAATTCATTCTGTCCTGTATGGTTTCTCTGTGGTAGATGTAGACGGGCTGAGCAGGGAGGAGGAGTCCTCCGGCCTGAACGATGCGGATGAGGGCTTCTCGTCCGGCGCGTCCAGCAGCAGCCAGCCCAGCGGTGTGCGCGGGAGGAAGAACCGCCCGTCCGCTCGCAGGACCTCCAGCACCTCTCTGGACTGCAGGACGGGGCTGGGCTCCGCCGCCGAGGCTCGCAGATACTCCATCCTCAGCCTGCAGGAGCAGCATCTGCCGGAGGAGGTGGAGCTGCTTTCTCCTGGAAAACAGAGCCGGTCACCCAGCTTCAACATGCAACTTATCTCACAGGTCTAGAACCGGCTGCCTCGTCCACGGCTTTCTACGTTCAGTTGGACTGTCACTTCTTGACAGAAGAATTATACCCTGAAAGCGGGAACTCTCATTACTTACTCATGTCATTTCAACCCTGTATTTTTCTCTTGAAACATAAAAGCGGTCCAAGCCAGGATGGTGGACGGTGATTCATACTGCCACTCAGTGAACACCGTACCAACTTCACACCAGTCAATATTAGTGTTACTTCCCTTTCTACAGTCAGTTTGTAAAAGAACAAATCTTTTCCCATTTCACACAGCCCAGCCTGATTCATTTAACTCTTTTCAGCCAAGTTGCCAGCGTCCGCCAGCATTTTTGATCATTGTCACAAAATTCTCATGGCCCCCAGAATATTTAGTTGCATGAATATCTGAACATGCAGAGTCTCTGCTTTTAACAAACAAACAAACAAACAAAAAGGTTTTATTCTACTTACATGCATTGTTTTTTTTTATCTACACTCAAATGTGGGTGTTTAAAAAAAAAAAAAAGCAACATTTTGATCCAAAAGCTGAGAAAATGGCATTTAGTCGATGACTACATCCAGATCAGATTCAGTACTGAGTTAACTTTAGGTGGTTTTGATTGATATGCTGATTGATGATGGTTGTAAATGTTATACCACCCCCTACTGTATAACAGTGAAAACACAGAATGCCGGAACATTTCATCAATGGTGGGGAAAGAGTTGAAAGCAAGACCTGTAATGGCTGTGTTTCTCACACAGGGCTGCTGTCTGACTCTGAATAGTGCGCTGGTCGTATAGAATGCTTTAATGGTGCTCTCTGCAAAGGAAAGAGTGAAAGAAGTCATACAGGACTGAAATGACACGAGAGTAAATAATGATGCTTTCCATTGTTGGCTGAACTAATCTCTTAAAACCCGAAGTGACAGCTGGCCTGACAGCGATCTAACCATCCCCCTCTCAGGCCAAATCTGAGTCGGACCGACATGCGAATCAAACATTGTGAATTTTCTGATGACAGTCAGTCAGCAATAAATCATCCCTAGTCCTCCAGAAGATTTGAATGCGTAACTGCAGCGTCTAATGCGGCCCTCTGATTTGGATCAAATTTCATATAAATATTAGTTTTTATGGCAGTGTTTTAAAGTTTTTCATGGTTATGTTCTTAAGATTATTCTGACTGAAATCATCAGAAGCCTGACTTCAATCATCAATGACTCTGAACTTGGCAGACTCTCTGAGAAAGGGACACTCAACATATAAATTGATATATTTATGTGATATACTTGTGTGTGAATAATGTAAAATACAATTCTGTCAGAAGACAACATGCTGTAGATGTGGAGAGTAGTGCTGTATTTTGCAGCTTTAATCCAAAGCCATCCTTGACAAGTGTCAGTGCTGCTGGTGGCGTAGAGGTCCATGAATGGGATGAGCATTTATCTGCCGTCAGCCTCACACAGTCACATCAGTGTCCGTAGAGCTGGCCTGCAGGTCAGGCTGTGCTGAGGCTGAGCTTTAGTAACATGTGAACAGACATGGTGATTTTCCCAAGCCAAACTCAATGTCAATGATCAGACATGGCATTAGTGATTTTATAGATGGTCACATAAGCCTGTAATATGATTAAAGAACAGCAGTGTGTCAGTGTGTTTTGTCCAGCCTGAATCGAAGGCTCTCATACAGATATAGATACACTCAAGAGAGAAGAACCTCTTGCAAAACAACAAACCACCCTATGGAGACCAACAGAAGCTGTCTTGTGCTGTTCTGTGTTGTCATGTGAATTATATCTGCTGTATTTATTTGCTGACTATCTCTGGTCATAATGTGACAATACAGTGTGTGTGTGTGTGTGTGTGTTCTGTCTATGTGCTTGAGTATTTCAGCACAAAAGTGGATCTGTGTCCTGTATTTCACCGTTTCACAGCCCAACGTCTATTCCAGCCATGATAGTCAGGGATGTTTTTCTCTGATTTTGCTTTGTTTCTCTTTGCTTTTTTAAATGCACACAGCTGTAATGTGTCTGTTAATGTCATTCTGTCTCATTTTGATATGTCTCCGCTGTGTAGAGTGGTTGTGTGCTGTGATCAAAGCTCCAGCAGAGCTCCTGAACTGAACACTGAACTGTCTCTGCTGAAAAAGGAAATGTGAGATTATACTGTGAATAAAAGTGGTTAGTCATGTACCAGTGAGCGTGATTGTCGTTTAAATTCTCTTGTCCAGTGCCTAGAAATAATACTCACTATCTGTACTTGTACTTTGACATTATTGCATACGATTGCACTACAATCTTTGAGAACTGATCTGAAGCACAAACTAAACCATTATTAAGTTACTATTACACACTGATTTCCAACATGTACATTTATTCACTAATGCCGAGTTCACACTGCACGATTTTAGCCCTGATTTTCACTCGCCTACAGGTTTTGCAAAATTGCCGACAAATGCCTGAAATTAGAGGCAAATTGGTGCTCGTTCACGCAAGTCAAGTCACCTTAATTTATAAAGCGCTTTTAACAATACAGATTGTCAAAGCAGCTTTACAGTATTAAATAGGAAAATATTGTGTCAATAATGCAAAATTAATTCAGTGATGTCATCATCCAGCTCAGTTCAGTTTAAATAGTGTCTGTGCAATCAAGTCAACGATATCGCTGGAAATTAAGTGTCCCCAACTAAGCAAGCCAGAGGAACCAAAACTCCATCGGTGACAGAATGGAGAAAAAACCTTGGGAGAAACCAGGCTCAGTCCTCTGGCTGGACGAACCAGCTGTTCAATTCCAGGCTGCAGCAAAGTTACATTGTGCAGAGGACTCCTGATTCCTGTGCTCTTGTCCCGGTGGCCGTCTAGAAGACAAGGGGCCTCATTTATAAAATGTTGCGTATAAACAGTCCTAAATTTGTTCTAAGATCGTTATTCAAAAGTGCGTAAGTGTGATTCAGAGAAAACGAACGTGCGTACGCCTCTCTTCCAGATGTGACATTTATAAATCGCAAATGATCTTGAAATTGTGCACAGCTGACTGGTGTCAGATCTCCGCCTTGTAAACGCCCCTAATTAATATCATTACCATATAAAAGAGCACACGCCAAAATCTGAATTTCTATGCTTGAGAATGACGAGCACAAAGAAAAAAAAAAAAAAAAACTTTACCGAGTCTAAAAATTGAGGTCCTGCTGGCGGAGGTAGAGGTTCCTGCGGGACGCTTTTTATTTAATAATGTGTAATTATTCTGTGGACAAACAATGTGTGTGTGTGTGTGGTTATATTTTTTTCTATTGACTATTATCAAAATGACTGCTTCTAGAAACAACTGAAATAATAATAATATTAATAGTAATTATAAAACAATTAGGTTTCCAAAAGTAAGAATAAACTCATTCAAGTACAATTTTCAGTCATCTTATAAAAAGTGAGCCATCCTACTTTTAAAATCACTTGCTATGACAACTAATAAAAAGTTTAGTATCACGAAATTCTTGCAAACCTTTAAAAAACATTATTGAAAGAAAAATTGAACGTTTCATATCATAATAAAATAAATTATTACACGATTATGGTCTCCGGTCTGAAAAAACCTGCATGTGATTTGGGATTTTCTTTGTATTTACACAGTTTACTAATGCTGCTCAAATGTGCCATTAATGTACTGACACAAAAATATATAGTGTATTTTATACAAATATAACTGATGTAAATGACAAAAACAAAGTTTAAGGCTGATGTCTCTATTCATTTTCAAGCAGCAGATGTTATAAATAAAAACAGTTAACAATGTTATTGAATAGAATTTAAAACTGTTATTGCACGACATAGACCTATTCTTATAGGCTACACAGACAAAACAGAAAAAAAAATGCATAAACGCATCTCTCCGACTGTTTTACGCATAAGTAGTAAAACAAGACTTCGCAAGATCTCTTGTAAAATAAAATAATAATAAAAAAACATGGAATAAACTGTGTACAGAAAACGAGTAAAGAAATACTCGCTAACTCCCATTAATAAAAAATCTGACTGCACTGCACAATTAATCTCTTACACTGCATCTTTGTTGTTTATGATGAATTCGGTGCTTGCACATACACCGCTTTTATTATTATTGCAGCTTAGATGTTCAAATATCTGCAGTACTCCAACTTTGCCACAAGGAGAAGTGCGTACGTCTGCTCAGACCCTGACGTGGCGGTAAGTACTTTTCCACGTCAAAGACTGTTTTTATAAATATGAACGTTGCCGTGGATTTTAGCATACGCACACTCTAAGATCAAATCTGTGCGTAGCACATTTTATAAATGAGCCCCAAGGTCCTCGCTGGGGATCTGTATCTGGGGCTCATCTAGTTGTCCTGGTCTCCGCTGACATTCAGGGCTGTAGAGGTCCTTTCTAGGTGCTGATCCACCATCTGGTCTGAATACGTACTGGATCCGGGTGACTGCAGGGACCATCTGATCTGGATACAGACTGGATCTGGTGGCTACAGTGACCTCGGAATAAGAGAGAAACAGACTAATATTAGCGTAGATGCCATTCTTCTAGCGATGTAGCAAGTACATTGGGTGTTATGGGAAGTGTTCCCGGTTCCGGTTGACCTAATTAATGCAGCCTAACAATCCTTTAACGGATTTGAATATTAGAAATGTGTTAGTGTGTTATGTGTAAGCCAGATTAAAGAGATGGGTCTTTAATCTAGATTTAAACTGACAGAGTGTGTCTGCCTCCCGAA